TCTAAGCTTAGCACTGTAGCACAAGTGCTCACAGGAGGTATTTCCCAGAGAGAAGACCTTTTGCAGAATATCTGTCTTGTAGCTTTGGCTTTAGTCACATGCAGGGATGGAAGATTCTGTAGTAGATTGAATCCTACAGATAGAGATGCAGCTGCTGGGTAGGCCACCAATACCGTCTGAAGGGTCTATACTGCTGGTCCATAGTCAACCTCCACAGAGCCACTGACTTTGTAGCTCAGGCCAGAGGTGCCAAAACCAAAGGCACAGGGACCAGGTGCTGACCCATGGCCAAGCATCACTGTGCACCCATTATTCAGTGTCCTTTCCCCTCCTGTTGCACCATAGGTCTTATTTCATAAAGCCCAGATCTTCTGCAGGGCGATCCAAAACAAAGTAGGGCAAAATTATAAAATGCCAGGCAGAAGAATCTTATATCAAAGCAGATATCTGCCATGGACATCTTTTTTCCATGGAAGCATCAAAGGCTGGCCTTGAAAATACCCCTCACTCAAAGCACCCTTCTGTTTTTATGTCAACATATCTTCTCTTGTGCAGAACCTATCAGTTCAACAAATGTGAGATGTGAGCAAAGTTCCACCAAAGAAAATATTGCCTAACCTGATAAGGACAGCACTATCCTACAGTACAGAAGGGAAGTTAGCTGCCTGAGGGCCATCTTCTTCAGGAACTCCTGCAGAAAAAATACCAGAGTCACATGCAGGACATAAGAGGTCCACTTCTACGGGAACTGTCAATGATAAAAAGGACTGCTCAACCAAAAAGTTGTATCTTAGGAAAGATAACCCAAAAGTTATACTTAGAACTGGCTTTGGAAGTTGTTTGCTTTCCTGGATTTTCCTCTTTAACAAAGTTTTGTTATTCTGCTCTTTCCTGCTATGCGTAAGAATTTCTACAACATGCCTCCTTCAACATACTTCAGCTAAACTTTATCACTGAATTCAGTAACCTCAGAATAAGCTCGTCCTTTCTTCTCCCTTTTCACCCTAATTAAGATGCTCTTAAGCATCTCCCTTCTCTTCTTCCCTTGTGTGATACCTCATTAGCTCTCGTAATTAAAACTGTACCCAAAGGGCTGGGCTTTGCACAGATGTTGGTATCGTTCCAGGCAACACCATGGGGTTACTGCCAGGCTCAGGTTGCTCCTCAGCACTGGGTGGGACACCTGAGGGACCTTATGTAAGGTCCTAGTGAGGAGGTCTTTTGAGATATTTTGATCAAGGCCTTGGGGGACTTTTCTGGATGTCTGGCTTGTGGTATTTTTAAACTGGTTATCCAAATATGTTAACTTCTAATATTTCTTTCTGTAGTACTCACAGGTGAGTCCAAACTTTCCCCAAGTGAATGTGGACAGCCTAACCTGGAAAATTTTTCCATCACTTAGCCCTATCTGAAAATTTTCCTCTGTTCATTGATATTAGGGCCAAGAAAAAAACACCCCCCCCCAAAAAAAAAAAAAAAAAAAAAACACCTCAATAAAAACCCCCCGAAACCCCCCAAAGAACAACCCACCCACAAATGGATTAGTTCAAATTTTCTCTCTCCTTGTTTGGGTGTCTCACATCAAGTCCACATACCGTAGCAGGGCTGGAGAGCATTTCTTATGGTCACACCTCCAGCAAACACGATGCTCCCCTTGTGCTATGACTCTCACAGCTGTCTGGGCCATGATCTTCCCCAGGTGGGGATGCTTTGTTCTCTGAGACCAAGGGCTGACTGAGGCCATAGTTCTTCTGTGATTTAAGAAAGACAAATAAAAAGCTGGGCCGAAGACTGGTTCAACAGACATTACAGATGAGGGGGAAATATTTTTGGAGAAATGAATTAATTTCCAACAGCCCTCAGCTTCCTCATTCACACCACCTGAAATCAGTCCAAGCAGGACACTGGGGAAATTACCCCTGACAGGCAAAATTTTCAGGCCTGTTCTGGAACAAGGTTGAACAGAAGAGGGGAGAATTGTACCTTAGATATTACACACAGGAAATCTGCAGTGTTTCAGGGTACCTTTTTTTTCCCTTTTGTCTGTAATTTAAGGTCCTTTTGATCATGTACCTGTATCATTGAAGTCATAGTAACTATGACTTACTGGCATAGAAGCATCTGAAGGAATCTGGTTTTCACACACTCTGCCACCAAGTCCCAGGGCAGAGGCTTGGCCATGGGTGATGCAGCTCAGCCAAGAATGCTGGGCAATAGGAAAAGATGAGGCTGTGTCTCTCTGAAATACTGTTCCCAGGAAGCCATGGAAACCCACGAAGAAGTGCTGTGGTTTCTGGGTACACAGGAGTGCTAGCTATTATGTTAATGTTTCTTTTTTATTCCCTTCTCAAAGCTGCACTTTGAGAGTCACTGAGTTAACTACACCAGAATAATCCATGGTGGGATCTTCATGCAAAGAAGTCCATCAAATGGATGATGACTTTGTAACTGTATTTAAAAATAAAAAATTTTAAACAATTAGCAAAACTCAGATTTAAAAGTTAGTGGGTGCAGGAGAGGCTGTGTGGTAGCTCTGTTCCCTGTGATGCTGACAGCAATGGTCACAGAGCTGCTAAGAGGGTTTAAGGTAAAGGACTAAACCATGGGAAGACATTAACAGGATCCCTTGGCACAAGGATTCAAGCTGGTCTCAGCATCCACAGCCCTAAACACAACAGGTTGGGGATTATTTCACATCTGTGTTCCTGTACACATCTAGAAAGGAACAAGGTATTTATTTTAAGTTAAGAAATGTTTAAGTCAGATAGATGGATACACTTCAAACTGAAATTTGCTCAGGACTGTTCACAAGACTACACAGCCTCCCCATTCTCACCCAGCTTTGCTGTCCCACTCACAGTGCTTTTGGCCACCTGGGTTTCTTTCACTTCATCCACCACCCCCCAGCCATCAAATAAGGAAGAAAAATTATATTGACTTTCGTCATTATTTATTACAAATTAAATTTTGCAAATTACTGTCTAAAAAAAAAAACCAATAGATTTAAATAAATATACAGATTTCAGGATGCTACATATGGCATGTGTGCAATAAGTCATTTAAGGATGAGACATTATACACACAAGGAGATATACATAGTACTTTACAGCAGTAGTTTTATTTTAAATTACTAGGCTCACATTAAACCATGTGCAAAGTTTCCTCTGGAACAAACCCTTTCAGGATTTATTTTATTTTATTTTGTTTTTTAGAATGACTCAAACCTTCAGAAGGTCAAATATAAAAAAGTTTCTCTGCAGCTTTGGGGACCAAATGATTAGTCTGCTGTTTCATTTATGATACAATCAATTGGTCTCATTTTCCCCCCCTCTCTAGGGCACATAAAGCAAAAATCAAAGGAAGTATTTTGTACGTCCATAGGACTACATTTGCAACAGCCACAGATTTTGGTCCACCACCAACTTCAAGCAGCCTTTTTAAATGCTCATGTGTAATACTGGATTGGGCAGCAAGAGGGACCCAACAGTGGTTCCAGGAGAGCAATTATTTATCTGCATGAACCAGATGGCAGCTGCAGCCACGATTTATAATAGAAGTTAATCTGCCCAGGCAAACAAAAGTGCATTTATGATACAGCTCCAGAGCTTTGAGGTTGTGTTTGCCTACAAGATTGGTTTCTAGGTCCTGGGCTCAGTGTTTTGTCCAAATTATTCCTTCCTCCTCTGGGCCAGCAGCACTGTTCTGCTCCAGGCCTGGGAAAGCAGCCGTGATTCTGGCATGGGTTTAAATCCAAGCTTTTCTTCTAAAGCTGTGCAGACAGTGCTGTGCTCTCTTCTCAGCGATCCACATCAATCCCACCTGGCTGCCCCTTGCCTAATGCATTCTCTACTCAGGTTACACTTCTCATAGTGACATGCTATCCATATACTGGTCATTTATTTAACACAGGGTCCAACTCAGGGACCTGACCTAAGCAAAGCAGCAAGCAAGCCTTTGCATGCTATTTTCCCACCACCCATCTTCTCCACCCCTAGCCTTTCCTTTCAGGCAGAGCTGAAAGCAAGTTGGGATATGAGGTTAAGAGCTGGAAGTACTCTACCCTACTAAGGGTTATGTTCAAGGAGATGAGACACATTCCCAGCACCAAACTCATCCAGACCAGCAGCTCAGCTCTGCCTCAGAGCAGGGCTCCCTCCCCCAGGCTACGTGGGGCTGGGTACACAGGGCTCCTGTGGAATTACAGCTCCTCTGCAGCCTCCCCATCCCTGCCACCTCTGTGCCTGATGGCAGGGGATATGCTTGGGTTTGATGCAAGCTCTGGTGTAAGTAAGCTAAACCGCCACCTAAGCAGGAGCCACTTGAGAATGGCTCCTCAGTGAATTTCTCAGCCAATGAATGCCACTGACTACTCAGTTGGCTTTCAGGCTTCTAAATGATATAATTTTTTTAATAACAACTGGGAGCTGTTTGACCGTGGGAGTCTCATTCATACGCACATCGCACTGCCTGACAAATAAGAGAAAAATGTGCAAAGGTGGGCTCGGGCAGACCACGCTGGAGGCAGTTTATCCCTGTCTACAATGACCAGCCAAACCACCTTCAAACAGGGCCAAGCTGGAACCATGCTCAAACATGGCTCAAAGGCAGAGCAGACCAGTGACAGGGGCTCAGCACTGCCAGGTCCAGAACAGCAGAGCCCTCTGGTTTATAAGTGATTCAACCGCCCAACGTGGGCTGATCCTCTGCCTAGGGCTCCAGTGCAGAGTTAAACTACTGCTCTACCAGCAAGACCCTGGCCTGATCCAAAAAGGCACAATTCAGCTCCACGACACATCTATGACTGTACAGAGAGACAGTTTTCCCTTTACAACAGTCTCTGGAGTGTATGCAGTGCTGGTTCACGCAACAGGAGCATGGAGACTTCCACTTCTTCCCCCTTCCACTCACAGCCTTTCCTTCAGCTCTAACTACCGACAGCGGAGTTAGTGGCACCCACAGGACTCCAAATTCTTCTGGTGAACTTGGGATGCACCTGTTTCTTATCTCTTCTTCTTCCAGATGTTTTTCTTCCAAGGCAAAACTGGTGGTTGTTCGTTCCTCTGAGAACGGCGCTGATGCTTGCTGAACCCCAGACTGG